GGTGCAAACCGCCTGCATACGGATAGAAAATGAATTGAATAACTACAAAAACAGAAAGGGATTGAGACAAGAATGTGTCTTCTTTCCAGATTTATCCAAACTCTACAGCGACGCTATCCCAATGGAACTGGAGACCCTACCAGGATTTATTATCGGTGGGTGTAAGCAATATAAAAGACGTAGATGACAGCGTGTTGATGGTCGACTCGGAAAGAAAACTACAGGACCTCCTAAACAGGACAGTAGAAGAAAGCAAGTTAAAGGGACTAATATTTAACTGAAAGAAAACAGAAAATAGGTTCATCAGTAAGAGAAAAATTTCAAGATGAAACTTACAAATTGGGGATATTACTACCAAGGAGGTGCAGAAGTTTGAATATCTGTGAAATGTTTTAACAGAGAATGGAAAATGCAACACCGAGATCCGAATTATAAAAATTTTATTTTGTTGTAAAAAAAAAAGGTTAAATTTCGTGCATTTTTATGGCCTTTTAGGCTCAATCAGCGAAGCGCCAAGATCTTGTGAATCTAATTTTTTTTTTTGAATATTCAGGAGGGGATTTTACATATATTGGCCAATGGGAGTCAAGTTTGTCTAGCACCTAAAAATTTTGGCTGGAGCCGAATTTTATGACTCCATTGAAAATAAAAATGACTATTATCAGCAGTTGACGGAAGGAAGAGAGTTGAAAAGAAAACGGCAGACCGTCAACTTCGACCGGGGCAGTTTTCCCAAGACATCACATAAAGGGACAGTCCAATGAGAGGTTATAAATCTGACGTGGCACATTCAAGGCAGATTCGTACGACAAATTTCACACCCCAGAACCTACAAGAATTTGCTTATGTCAAATCCCTTTCGAGCTGAGAGGTCCTTTACAGAGCCACTACAACAGAGGTTGGTGTCTTTTAAAAGATTGTGCCTTGTGCCATATTGTGAATCCTCTTACCCCGAGATACGTTAAGGGGTATTTTATATGGATAGGAGGGGAGGATAACGGTTGACTATAGACTTGAACAGGTTAAGATTGTAGTAGTCGGGGAAACATCCTCTATGGAATCTGTTCCATAGGACAGTGGTTCGCGGGAAGAAGCTGTTCGAGTAGAACTTACTTCCGGCCGATGGAATACGGAAGGAATGTGGGTGATTTGCTACTCTGTAAGTGGCATGGCGGGTCCTAGCCGTGAAGGTTAGAACTAGTGGAACCAAGGAATGTAGTTCATCTGAGCACAGTGTTTACGTCCTGGGTGTGACAATAAACTACATCCGGCAGCAAGGCCTCTGCTTGGGAGGTCTTGAGGAGTGTGCAATCACTTCTTAATTGCTGTTGTTCCCAGGTCCACCCAGACCCGGGGTGATAGCACCTTTTAGAGTCTCAACTATGGGCAAATAGTTAACCACCAAACTGAAGTCAAAACACTTTGAAAGTATAAAAATACCAGCAATATATTTTTGTAAATAAAATTACTAATGCTTCCAAGAAAATTAAATTTCGCCATTAACTGACACATAAAGAATTGATATCCCGCTAAACAAACAAACAACAATGTTCAACGCAAAATGCATTGGATTGACAAAGATAATTGTCAACAAAAGTTGAGCTCCATGGAAGAAAGGTAATGTTATGGGTGTCCTGCAATCGTCTGGATATTATTCATTTAGTATCCATAAATGCATTGAAACACGAAAGGCACATTTATTCAGCCAGCAGTTGCAATACGTCCATAAATGTTTGGCCGAACAGCCTTTGCACTCGTCAATAGGAAAGATACTGTTACCCACCAGGATTACTAAAGGACGCATACAGCAAGAATGACAGCAAAAATGTTGGAGTTCTGTTAGCCTGTTTTGTTCCATTCGCCATAATTCTTTCACCAGCCGATTATTACGTTTTTCGATCGCTGCAAAGCGCTTTGATGAGGAAATGGATGAAAAACAGATTCAAGAGTGTGTTGAAAATTTTTCACAACAAAACCTGCGGAATTTTACTCAAAAGATATTGAGGTGCTGCCTGATAAGTGGTAACAAGTCATTGAAAATAATACTGAATATATAATTGAATCAAATGTAATTGCACTTTATTTTTTCAAGAATAAAGTTGATAAACAAATCCAGGATTTATTTATGACTCAACATAATAGTTTTGAAGACTAAACCTTTTAATTTTAAAAGGTAAAAACTCTCGAAAAATCTCGTCGTAGTCACACTCAACGAGGTTGTATGATATGTTATGCCCCAACGACCCTATAATGAGTAAAGTGATGCCTGTGTTGAAATTAAATCCTGACACAGATTAGAAATGATTAAATGTTTTACAAAACTCTCCTTTTGAATTTTACTGGGATTTTAATAACATTACAACATAACAGAAAAGATATGTGATTATATTATATATATATATATATATATATATATATATATATATATATATATGAATAAAGTATATTTAGACTGCAAGTATGCATCCCCCAAAAATGATTAAAAAAGAATCGACAATGTCTATCTAAAAAAAAAACAATAAAAAATATAAACAAACAGAAGCTTTCGTTTCTTTCTAAACAAACTTGTTTGGATGAATACTTGATGCCTAAATATACTGAGATGGTTAAAAGTACTTGAACAAAACGATAATACAATTCATACACAATTTCTATAATACAATAATCAACACTTTATTTAATATTTATTTATTTATTACAATAAAGAATTAAACAGACTGACCTTGTCGGTTCTTTTTAATGAAACTTGTTTATATATATATATATATATATATATATATATATATATATATATATATATATAATAGTAAAGATATATAATCCGGTGTTCTTATAGATATTTTTATTTTTACAAAATAGTGCTCAATGTAAATTTACAGAGCATTAATATTATAAATTAACTGATTTAAAATATGGGTTTTCGCTACACAGTAATAACCATGTTTCAAAAATGGAAGCTAAAAGTTTCAAATTTAATTTTGTAATTAAATTAAAAACATTAGTTCCATTTCATCATCAAGCAATTTTGGGGTAACTTATTATTTAAATTTAGTGAGTTTTAAAGCCCCAGAAAACCATAATTCACTGTTTCCAAGGATATATATATATATATATATATATATATATATATATATATATATATGTGTGTGTATATATATATATATATATATATATATATATATATATGTGTGTGTGTGTGTATACTAAGTAAAGAAAATAGGTTCAAATCATTATTCCGATTTTTTTTAATAGAGCGATCCTCAGACGACAAAAACTGACCAGAAACAATGAAATACACATATATGTGTATATATATATATATATATATATATATATATATATATATATATATATATATATATATATATATCACCTGTATGTAAGAGACAAATTGTCCAAATCGTGTAACAGCAAAAATTTCCAACTGTTAAATTTAGCTTTGAGCCGTTGTATCTTAGAAATGATTAAAGATCTTTTACTGAAATTCTCCGAAGTTTGAAATCAATAATTATGTAGTTCTCAACTGACAAGATTACAACCAAAACTTACAATCTATCCTAGATGATACAACAAAACTTATTAAATTAAGGAAGAATCTCACAGATTAATTCAAAATGTACATAAATAAACTTATTACAAGGAACGACACTGAGGTTGATAGTTTAAAAATCAAGAAAATTGTCGGTGATTACCAATCAGGAAGTATGTTTGGTAATGTAAAAACCCATAATCCAGGTTTTTTTTTACGACCTATTATATCACAAATACCTATACCTGTATATCAGCTACTAAAAACGCCTTTCTTCATACACTCCCAACAATTAAAGCATTGTATCAACAAAGTAATTTCTTCATATTTTAAAAGCAACAAATACCATTGGTAATACTTCACTTGATGTTGAGAATCTTTTCACCAATGTCCCAGTTGAAGAAACAATCAACATAATTATTTACTACGTCTACTAACACTTTTCAATCTGTCCTTCTAAAATTAAACCAACAACTCTTCGGAAACTACACCTTTCCTGTACGACGAAAACTCCATTTTATTATTGTTGTGGATTCCGGGGATGGAATCCGGCACAAATAAATAACGACGCCAGTAATAGAAATAGGAAAATAGGTGTATTAAACGTAAGAATATAAAGAGAAATGTAGATTAGTAGTCCAGGAATGCGGGTTAGTAGAAAAGTATATTTACAAGTCTCGGTAATTGAAGCCGTAATTATCTCTCTTTCTGGACTGTCGTAACTCTGTGTGAACACCCTGTGTCGACCTCTCTTGTCACGCTATCTCTCCGTAGTATAAGTATATATTGGACGAGTCCATTCTGTGTACAAGGGGCGAGGCCCACAATAATTATCGTAATGGCAAACTCTACATCGAAACTAATGGCGTCAGCATGGGAAATCCTTTAGGCCCCACTTTCTCTAACTTTTGCATGTCTTATATTGAAAAAAAAATGTTTAAAACAACTGATAAACCAGAAATTTACACAAGATACGTTGATGAAATTTTTGTTTTAATAAAAAATGAGGACAGAATTATAAATCTAAAATGAAATTCACCGCTAAAATTTACAATTTTTGATTTTAAGGGAGCACATCAACATTACACACGACTGGGTGATTGCTTCATTGATTCGTTTTTACGGCTTATCAACACTTTGCAGGTTATTTAAATCGAGGAAATATTTTTAGATTGTGAGAAATTTTTTGGCGGGTAGATAAAAGTAGTTTTGTAGTGATACAAGTCTTATTAATTAACCCATAGCAGGGGGTGAAGTGATGGATTCATACCTTTCCCAAGAGTATTTGCGCGTAAGTGAACATAACAGACCTAACAGAAATTAGATCTCGGCTCTCCGATTAACAATTTCGAGCCATTATCCATGATAACGTCCATCCAAGCTTACAAGATCTGGTATTCTCAAGCGGTCACCCATCTAGGTACTGACCAGGCTCAGTATTGCTTAACTTCGGTGAACGTACGGGAATCGGGCACGCGACTAGCATCGCATTTAAAAGTTGCCGTGATCAACGAGGTGGCATATTTTGTTTTAATAACAGCTGCAGCTAGTTAGTTCACAATAGATTAACGCACAATACAGATCACTTTAATTAAGCCTCTTGTAAGTGTCGACCCATGATGTAATTGCTCCTTGGTCAAAAAAGAAAAAAAGTATCTAGAATGCTGTTATTTTCTGCGACATGAAAACACGTTAAAGTTGTGCGGCTGGGGACATCGATTTTGTTGTTCTAATTAATCAAATTTAACTTTGGTTGTAGCCTTCGGTAAAAGAGGTTTTTGTCTCGTCAATAGGCAAGTCGTACAGTTAATTTCTCCAGCCATCTTACGTCTTCGCGGCGTCAATAACATAGAAAACACAGAAATCCTATGATTAGACAACGTTTAACAAACCACTGCAATAACAGATCGTATCACAAATACGGTGGGTTAGAGTATTGAAATGCCGACCATGAGGCCTGCGATTCAGTTATTGAGAGAGAACAGATATTAAAGTGTAAGCTGTAGCATTCATTATTTTTCGTTTAACAATACCACACTTTATAAGACGTCTTGAATTTCCTTTGACTTGCAATCATCAGTGAAAAATAGGGAAGAATTCTTGGGCATAATTACCCATCTCCTATATTCCTTGGTGTATTATGGCTTCCTCAACCTTGACATATTTGAGAAAGGTAATAGAATAATCCAGAATCTATACTGGCAGCGACTCCCCCGCCCAGCATACGGATAGAAAATGTATTCAGTAAATATACAAAAATAGAAAGGGGCGTGAGACAAGGATATATATTTCACGAGACTTTTATATATATACAGTGAGGCGATTCTGAGAAAATTAGAAGCCCTACCAAGATTCATTATCGGCGGCCACAATCTTAATAACATAAGATATGCAGATGACACAGTGTTGATAGCAGACATAGAAAGGAAACTAGAAGACTTCCTACAGAAGGTAGGAAGGGAAAGCGAGAAGAAAGAACGCAAGAAATTGTAAGAAAAAGAGTGTATGGTTATCAGTAAAAAGAAGAGTTCAACATGCAAATTACAAATTGGAGATACCAAACTCAGACAAGTACAACAATTTAAATATCAAGGAAGTGTTTCAACAGAGGGCAGACATTGCGACATTGAAAATCCGAAGGCGATTTGAGATAGCGTAAGGTGCTTTCCAAAAGCTAAGCAGAGTATTAAGAAACAGAAGAATTTCATTTGAAACAAAGAAAACAGTACTGAACTGTTACGTAATATCAGTCCTCCTACATGAGAGCGAATGCTGGACAATAGCCTAACAAATTCAGAAAAGACTTGAAGCAACAGAAATGCGGTTCTACAGAAGGATGCTGAGAATACCATGGACCGAACTTGTGAGCAACGATGAAGTTTTAGAGAAAATGAAAACAAAAAGGACACTTTTACTTAACATCAGAAAGAGACTGTTAAACTTTCTAGGGCACATAATGAAGAAAGAGGGTTTGGAAAATTTGATATTCACAAGAGAGATTGAAAGCAAGAGGAACAGAGAAAAAACACGCATAACCTCCCATGAGTAAATGGATGATAGAAGAGGGTTTAAAAAAGATAACAAAAAGACAAAGGTTATTAAGTGCTACAAAGGACAGGAAACTGTAGAAAGCTATGATCGCCAAAGTTTTGGTGGTAGGCAGCACATAGAAAAAGAAGTGTCCATAGTGTTGTGAATATGGATTATCTCCCCCTTTATAATCCAACTATAAAAGCTATACATTTCCGTTTGTCAGGTAGACTAGTAGTAGCATTCTTAATTGAATAAACGATTACTAGACAGAATCTCTTGTCCTGTTTTCATTACACATAGTTTATTTATTGTCTGAATGTTCGATTTTAAAGTGAATTTCCGCAATTTTATTTTCCAAATATTTCTGTTGCATTTTAGCGGCATATCAACTCCTTACGGTTCATTTAATGCCGAAATTTAATATTCTTGGGGACATTATTAATTTCTTTTCCAAAAATGTATTTCTGATAATACATTTTTTCATTCTTTTAAAAAATGTATTGCTGGAAAAAATATGTATATTTTCATTAAATATATTCCTGGTAATATTGTTTTCTTATTTTTGAAAAATATATTGCTGGTAATATTCTTTTTATTTTTTTTACAAAAAATGTATTATTGGTAATTTTTTACCATGAAAATGTATTACTAATATTCTTACTATAAAGATCTATTTTTATACTTTCACAGTCTTTTGACCCGAGTTAGGGGATGAATTATTTGCTCATAGTTGAGTCCCTAACAGGTGTTATCAACCCGAGTCAGGGTGGGCCTGAGAACAATAGCAATTAAGAGGTGCTTCCAGGCTCTTCAAAACCTCCCGACCAGAGTCCCTGCTGCCGGATGCAGTTTATCGTCATACCCAGGACGGTGTAATAGGATGAAGTATACAGGAGGCTGCAAAAGTAGGTATACGGTAATTGTTTGTATAATTAATACAATACGTTTTGCGCACATGTTTTGTCACTGTATACCTACTTTTGCACCACTAGAATTTATGTGGTGATCAATTATCATTTATAGTCAGACTACGCATCTTTACTGTTACCATCACAACGGATTGGTCGCTATGCTTCTCGGCCTTCTTCCTAATTTCGAACTGAGCCCTTTATTTAATCCGTAGGTGTAGATTGTTCTCAGTTTGCTGTTCATGTTTAGAAATATAATATTTTGTTTAATAGTCCTTTTATTATTGATCAGTGATAAAGGCTTAGTGTTGATTATTGAATTTGGCGACGTAGTAATTGCAAATTCAAACTCTGGGTCGGATGGTACGGCTATAATCAGACACAGTGGAAACAGAATTAGCAATGGCAGTGCAGTACTATAAGGATAATTGAGATCGGGTCGGGTACAACTGACCCCCGCCCTCGTAAATGCAGGGTTCAGTTCGAAAATCCCTGTATCATAGCCTGTTTTTTGCTGGTTAAGAATGGATCTGGCAGCACGATAAAATTCTATCAAAGGAATTGTTCATAAAAAGATAAATGTTTAAATAATCTGGGAGCAGGGAGTACAATATTTTATTAGAGCTTTAAACATGGACATTTTCAAAATAAAGGCCATATCTCGTTGAAACACTGATTCTCGTATGGTCAGTACATTGATGGGTGACCGCTTGGGAATACCAGCTGCTGTAACCTTGGATGTGCGGATGGTTTCGGAATTAGAAATCGGATAACAAATACGCGCAAATACCCTTGGCAAAGGTATGAATCCACCGCGTTTCCCTACATCTATGGGGTAACCAGTAGGAATTGTATCAGTAAATCATTATTATATATACACTACAGTTCAAAATTTTTAGGTAACCCCTGGTAATTTTTAAAATTGACTCAAAAAGTAGTAGTTTTATAATTTAAATAAGAAAAAAAATATTATACCTGGTTAAAAAAAAGGGAAACATAATATTTTATTAGAAATTTTATTATGGCGAAAAAAAAAAAGCATTTTATGATTAGATTTTGCTCTCGTCAAAATATCTTTCTTTAGCCTTGATTACTGCAGCACAAATTTTTGGCATTCGTTGGAAAAGTTTCTCAAAGTATAAGTTTGATAATTAATTCCATTCTTTTTACAGTGACTCTAAGAGATCTTTTTCATTTTTTTCAATTTTCTATAAAGTTTATACTATGCTAATTCTGGGAGTGGCTTCAAACTTTTGAACTGTATTGTGTTGTGCACACACACACACACACACATATATATATATGTATGGATGGATGAATACATATTCTTCTACATTTAAATCTGTTAAATAAATTAAACTTAAAATGTTAAATCAATTTTTAAAAGTCGTTTATGTAATAGAGTATTTCTCTCGCTATTTACACACATACAGACTCACACATATATACTTGATATATATATATATATATATATATATATATATATATATATATATAAAAAAGAAATATAATGTAGTGGTTCCAACGAGAGAAAAGTATGTATATTAAAAAGAAGAGAAGAGAGGTGCCGCAAACGTTTTTGGTTGTAATGTGGATTTATTTAGAAAAATATTATGCTTTGTTTTACATAATTTTACTACGACACGTGTTTCTGGTCTCGCGACCGTCTTCAACAGTTCAAAGGTTCTATATAACATACACTACAGTTCGAAAGTTAAGCTCTGGTAATTTTTTAAACTTTCACAAAATATAGTTGTTTTACTTTAAATTTAGTTTGTACTTTAGTTTGTACTTTAAATAAAATAAACTTGTTATACATAGTTAAAAAAAAGTGAGATATGATTTTTCTTTGAAATTTTATTATGACAAAAAGGAAAAAGCATTTTATGATTAGATTTTGCTCTTCTCAAAATGTCCTCTTTTCGCCTTCATTACTGCAGCACAAATTTTTGGCATTCGTTGCAAAAGTTTCTCAAAGCATAAGTTTGATAATTAATTCCATTCTTTTTTCAATGACTCTAAGAGCTCTTTTTCATTTTGGGGATGGAAAGGTTTCACTCTTCTGTCAAGTTCATCCCATGCTAATTCGGGAGTAGGGTTGGTTCAAACTTTGGAACTGTAGCGTATATATAAATATCTTACCATCGAAAAAGATTTTTTTCGTTTTAAATAACATGCAAAGGGTTGATAAGCCGTAAAAATAAATCAAAGAATCAATCAAATGAATATTTTTAAAAATGATTTAGATCTGCATGAGGATCCAAGAGAATCTCCATTAGTTTTTTTTTTAGCTTTTTTTTTTTTAACTATGAACAGACATTAACTCATAAACAAATAAGTACACAATGGGACTTGATAATTTGTCGGACAGACTCAGAATTAGCGACGTTAACATTAAATTTTAAAACTTTCTTAAAACAATTATCTTCTTATCAACTGCTATTTTAAACGAGTGATTTCATGTCTGCGGTTTTGTGGTTGACGTGCAAGCAATGTTTTGGTGGCGATGGGTTAGCTGGCCTGCTGGCAT